CTTTGATATCCTCAACTTCAACAGGATGTAACTCGCATTTTAAAAATAAAGCCACTCCTCCCCCTCTTTAATACTCTTGTCTATGCCTATTAAATAGCCTGTAACCCTATATTTCAAAGAAATTTCTGTCATCAAAATCATCCATGTTTAACCATGTTTCAGTTATTCCCATTATATCAAAATCCTCATTTCCTACCAGTTCTCTAAAGTCATCTATTTTATTTCTTATACTTCTAGCATTACAATAGTAACAATTAAGCTTATCCTTATAACTCCTTCTATAGTCATTTCCTAATCTAAACTTTTCTCTGCCTCTTATTCTTTTTGCATTTAGTTTTTCCTTATCCTTACCACTGTCTAGTCTTAGTTTAAAACTTCCCTTACAGCTGAGTTAATAGTGTTTAGAGAAGTTTTATATTTTTTTATTAACTGATACAAAACAAGTTTATTATATATATAAAAAACTTAAAATAATATGAATAATATGCCTAATTTTCTTATTTTTCAGGGGGATCAGGCCCCCTTGGCTACGTCTCTGACCACAAACTGTGAGATAGTTCAGCATAAGAAGCACAGTCGATGCTGTGCAATGTAGTTATTCTACTGTTGCAGCACAGCAACACTTTCTGAATGATGTACAACAGATGCAACAGCTAAATTAGTAGACATACACTTTTAACAGCACTAAAATGGCTTTAATTACAAGCCTCTTGGTGGATGTCCATAATGCAATTCAGGTGTTAACTTGTTGATTTTAGCATGAAAATCTGGTACTCAGTCAAGTGAAAGAGTCCACTTTAGTTGGATTGGATGAGCTAAATATAAATGGTGAAAATTACAGGGAAATGGTGAGCACTTGGAACAGAATGATGGGTGTATGAAAGGTGTAAATCTTTGTTTCAGAAGGGACTCCTTCAGAAGTAAACCAGCTGACGAGTAAATACATAGACAGACTTCACCAGGACATCAGTGACAGGATTACAGAAGAAGATGAAAACATCGTCAATAATCCATACTTGAGTCTTCTATTTTTGGATGAAGATCTAGCGGATGGAGTTATTACTGATCTTTCAGATTTCTATGGAACTAATAAATTAACAAAAATTTCAAATAATGCTGGGGAAAACACTGAAACCAAAACCATTTGTTACAAAATTAATGGCCTATATTCAATAGCATATACATATATAAACTCAAAACTGAACATTTATGTAAAAGGGTTATTAAACCGCTTGGTGATCAATGTCAAATTACTTTGTGTAATAAGTGTTGATTGTGAAAGAACCTTTTCTGTACAAAACAAGCTCAAGACAAAATTCGGATGCTCTATGAAGGCTGAAAAACTGTTTAATGAGAATTGTAATATTAGATCTAAAAACTGCATTGTATGATTCAAGTCCTGCAGATAAAATGTGAGACAGTGCTAAGGACAGAAGAAGGGCAAGGCTTTCACAACCATACAAACGGAGAATTAAGAAAATTTAAAAATAAATAAATGTGTTTATTGTGTGTGTGTTTTTTTGTGGTACTTTGTTAAGATCAATTACACAATAAGATTCTATTGACATATTTACTCTTATAATATAAATGATTCAGTTTCTACATAAACCAGCATACTGATGCATATCCACGATACTGAATTACTGATCACTTGTGGCAGATACTGACAGAGGCAAAATTTGATCAGGGCAAAAATTATTTGGAGTACTTTATACTATTATAGAAAACCAAAACATTAAAAAAGGCAAGCATTTTTATTTACAAATAAGGACTATTAGACACTTTTTTTTTCACAAAGCAGCTGTATAGAAATATTAAGAGTATACATCTTATAAAAGTTTACAATTTAACAGTTTCATGCATCCATAAAAACTGATCAACTTAAATGTTGTTTACCTTTTTAAATAATGTTTTGCAGATTTTCAGCTTGAACAGATTGCTTATTTTTGTTATCAACATCATTCACTCTATGCAGTGGCATTTTGTTCAGCAAAAAATTCCTGAGACTTTTATTATATAAATATTACTATGCTTTTAGAAACCTATTTAAGTGTTGTTAAACCAAAGAAACTAAAAATTATAAAAAAACTATCCTGTCATTTAACAGTGCTTATGAAAATGTCCAAATTCAGATCTGAGCTTTAACACTGACAGTAAGAATACATATAAGAAAACTTAATTCAATTAAAACATATGCAAATGATATATAATGATGAGTAATTTAGAAAGTTTCAAAGGTCATAAAGCAATATTCCGATTTGCTAAAATTTAGGGTAAGTACTTAACTTCTAGAGTAAATAACACAGGTAATAAGTAATAACAAAGTTGGGGTCATATTTGTGACACCTGACAGTGTGACTTCAATAATAACTTGTAAAATTACACAATAGATATACAAAATTTATCAGCGTTTCTTATCGGTAACTGAATTATACGTAAGACTTAGTTAGAGTGAATAAAGAAAAGCTCAAGTAATAAACTAACTTAAAAACATTACCATTTTATTTAAACATTAAAATAAAAGATTTAATTAAAGTAATGTTAAAACTAATTGTAAATTCTATATTAATTTCAAAAAATTAGCCAAAGTCAAAAATAAAGCCTGTATCATATAAGAAATAATGATCCATTTCCCGGCCAAGACTAAGCTGTTTGATAGTTAAGCCTCATTTTACTCAGCTTGGTCTTAACATTCATCGCTGGTCCTTTAACACTAAACTTAGTTTAAGCTTCCTCAAATTTAACAATAACTGAATAAATTTTACTGATAAGACTTAACAACAAAACAAAAATAATAAAGTAAGAAAACAATTCAGAAGTTTATTTATTAAATTTCAATCTTTAGAATTAATCACATATTTTAAGCTAAACATTTATCTATTTTCCAATTTGGTAAGACTAAACAAACACCATTCCTACAGCGTTTAAGTTCTGCAATAAACAATGGCACCTAAATGAGGCATGTGACAGTCACCTATGGTATTTAATCGCGAAATGTAAACGCTCAGTGTTTAACGATCTTATAATTCCATAAACACAGGTGTACGAAGAATTGCCTTACTACCATAAAAACAGTACTTTTGTTGTAAAAAAATATAGATGTTTTTCATGAGGTTTCAAATATGTTGGGGTGAATTTATTTTTATAGTTTACATTTTTAATGTAATTTGTTTACTAGAGGGAGATAATAAGATAGGCTTAGAACAACTATATAATTCTACGGAATTGACATAAAGTGTTCTAGCACATTCAAATACTAGATCATAAATAGGAGACAGTTGTGAAGTGAGAAGATTGATTTCAAAATAGTATCTTAGCTATAGCAGTTACTTTGTTTAAGTAAGTTGATTTGTTTTACGTTAGATAAACGTTATTTTTAACGTAGGTCAATGGCAGTGTACAACTTGCAAGTTTTCAAGTTTATAATGTTAAAAAAGGAAATAAAGCAATTTATTATAATTACTTGGATTGGGCGTTGAATTATTGTCACCAGATAATTAAAAAAAAACAAACTCGCCAGTAAGAGAACTGCGCTAATACAATATGGTAAATTCAAGAACGGCTAAATTATTTACCGTAAAATATGATACAGCACGAGTTTAATTAAGGTAATATTCAAGGAAAATAAGAGGCCTTACTCTCAACATGATTTACAGGCGTCAGTGTGCAATTAGTTAAATAAATTTATACGAAGAGTTAAAATAACTCCCTATATCCATACAAAATTAAACAAAGTTCAACTCTGGACTTAAAGTCAGGTTTCCATCAAGTAAAAATGGCTGAAGCAGATAGACCCAAGACAGCATTTAGTTATGGACCAAGGTCTCTGGCAAATAGCGAGT